TGGACCTAGAATGTGCATCCATACTTACCTTAACAAGCTAAATTTGGGTATGATGGCCAACTACATAAATTAATTAGTTTGATAATGAAGCTTTCTTCGTATTTATTTGTTAGGTGAGGTCAAAGAAGAGGGAAACCTGAGAGGCTGCCAATTATGCATTGAGCGAAAATTACTTTAAGATTATGCATTAAGCTTTTTTTAATGTTATATGTAGCTTACTCAACAATGAAGTTGAAGGATGAATTAGTACATGTTAAAGACTCAAATAACTATAAATTCACATTAATTGAAAGAACCCACATTGGGTTTGTTTGGATTTGCCCCTAATGAAGGGAAGTTAGGTGAATATATGATAAGTTAAGTTAGGGATAGTTAAGACAATATATAAAACTCGTTCGGAAATTTAGCAAGGAGAATCAATGAGAACTTATTTCATCCCATTTGAGAAGTTTAATAAAGCGAAGAAAAGGTAAGGGAATACATATAAATTTGCATAAATAATCTTACATGTTATTTCACCTCTTTGGATCTCATATTGACACAATGGTAGAATTATATTTGTGTACTATTCTCTTTTTTTCAAGAGTTCACTTCCCCTCCATTACACCACAATTTGAGAGAAACAAATCTCAAGTTCACAACCCCCTCCCCCCGCCCCAACCCCAAAAAAAAGCCCAACCACTACGTTAACTCCCCCCTCATTATCTATCTCAAGTGAGTTCCCAAACAAGATTAATATATATGTCCTTACCTCCTCCCCTTACCCCAAATCCAAAGAGGGTGTACAACTGCATCCCTAATTTATGTAGGTTTAATTATGCTTTGCCCAAACATTCTTATTCTCCTAATACACTAAAATACTTCTAGCTAACTCCTATGTAATCTGACTTGTACTCGAATTTTGTCAAGTGGTTAATTTAGTAACCGAATCTGTCATTCTCCTGTCTAAAATAGACTGGTATTTCTAACGCCACACAACAAGAAAGTGTGGGAGAGATGATAACTCTTGACATCATCGTGAGTAGGAGAAGAAAGGATTTGGATCCTCTCCACTACAAAAAAGTAGTGGAGACACCACTACTTTTAATCTCAAGCGTTGATTATTTAGTAGGCGGTTATGATACAATCTAAATCTAACACTTACCATACCCCCGTGTATTGCACTCATTCCTAATTTGCACTAAAAGAAAAAAATCATAACCATCAACTAGATAATCAATGGCTGTGATTATGTAGTGGTCCCTCCACTATTTTTATTGTAGTGGAGAGGATCCGAATCCGAGAAGAAATGCTCGATCATGAAGACGAGTCTCATTAGAAACCGAACCACAGTGTCAACAGTTGAAATCTCCAAACTGACCTCTACCCTCCTCCTGTATTACGACACTTCATTAATTTGTGTAACGATCCCATATTTTAGTTCCACAATGGGAGTTTACACTGATTTGTGGGGTTTAAATAGCGAAGCTAAACATTCAAGTGTAGTATCAGCTAGTTGATTTAAATAAAGGGTTAAACTAAATAACGTGCTACACTCAATGGGTCCCACCAACTTACATGTCATAGTCTCGATGCGTGACAATTTAGGTATAGGGCGTTCTAGTAAAGATTGATACTCTTCAATCACACATGAAAATTTCAAACGAAGAAATTTTCAAAACCGACCCAAACCATGTTTTTATTTTTAAAACCGACCCACTTTTTTTTATTTATCAAAATCGACCCACTTTTTGCCACGTCAGCTTAATCACATTCTTAAACAGTCGTGGTTGGCAACCCCGATAGTTTAGGAGATTGTTAAACCCTAATTAGAAGCCTTAAACTTGGTTTTTGCTGTCCTAAATAGTCGGGATTAGCAACCCCGACTAATTAGGAAATGAGATTAAGCTGACGTGGCAAAAAGTGAGTCGATTTTGATAAATTAAAAAAATGGATCGGTTTTGAAAATAAAAACATGATTTGGGTCGGTTTTGAAAATTTCTTCAATTTCAAACCTACTTAATAATTCCTCTAAATTGGGTTAAATTAACTCGCAGAGGGTAACATGAACCATTATGAGATCCTCTTCCTTATAACATGACAACTCAAGTCAACTACTAAGAAGTCAATCTAGCGTGTGAAATCAACGTGAAGATTCATTGGATCCCGGCATGAGCTGGCCCTCCAACTACGCGCCTCACAGAATAATGCGCTCATCTTCAAAACTAAGAAATTCCATTGCAATTCAGTTGAAAGGGACTTACTTTATTAATCTCTCCATCAAATGGATCTATACTCCACTTGAACAGGGATTTTTTTGATTTTCCCCCCCTTCTTCTTTGTTTTATTCTTTTTTTATGCTCTGTCCTTGTTCTTGCCGCAATCAAGCAAAAGCTATACTTGACTTTGACTTGTAGCCTTAAATTTGAGCAATTATTGTTTGCTTGCACATCTCTCTTGTCTTATAAATCATAAGACTCTTCTAGTCAATTATTCTTCTAAACTATTTGGTTATAACTCTTGAAATTCAGAGTGAGTTAGTTATTTATTATACATGAGAAAAATAATCGTATCGTTGTTTGTAAAACGAGAGTTTTATGACAATACATTGCTTGCACGTTTTGTAGTTATTTTTTATTAATTAATTACTATAATAGTAATATAAGATGTGAGTCAGATGCATATTTATTAAAAACTTGATATTAATAGCAAGATGGAAAATTGTTTCTTATTTCACATAAGGTAGATGACGAACAAATCAGTACGCAATTAGTTAGACTTATTTTTGTATTACCAGGCAATTTGAATAGTATTGATCGTTAACATTGTAGGCTATCTAAAAATCACTGCAAATAGCTGAT